ATATAATATATATAATATAATATATATAATATATATAATATATATAATATAATATATATATGTATATATATATATATATATTGTACATAATTAATACAGATTTCTACATAATTATATAAACATACAGACGCCTACATAGCATATATATATAATACATATCTATTAACCAGCAACATAAAAGCATATAAATAAATATAATATAAATAGATATAATATAATAATAAGGAGACACACCTTTTAAGCAAAGCCTGCTGCTCTTCAAACATTCTTTGCTGCACCAAAGCGAAAGACGTTCGGTCTTCTGCATCATCTTCAGTTGTTGCTGATAAACCAAGACAAATATAAGTTTAATTACTCTTTTTTATCTTTATATATATATATATATATATTATATTTATTTATTTATTTATTTATATTAATCAATATTAGTAAGCCCGTAAGCACATATACGCATGGAAGGGTTTGCATGCGTTCTATACTTTGCATGCATGCATGCATATATATATATATATATGCATATAATATATATGCATGCATATATATATATATATATTGGGCTCTATAGTTTGCATGCGTGTTCCTGCTCAGGTGTATAGGCACCTCGCTGCTTTGCTGCTGCATCTTTCTCTTTCTATCTCATTACAAATTTGCAGCCAACTCCGCTGTCTCTCTGTCTACTTAACAAAGCAGCTGCTGCCTGACTGAGGAGGGGGAGAGCTGCATGCGGTGCAGCAGCAGCAACAGCTGCTGCATCAGCAGCAGCTGCTGCTGCTGGTCGTGTTGCTTCTACTGGTGGTGTGCTGCTGCTTCTGCTGTTGGTGCGACTTGGAGTAGTGGTTGTGCTGCTGCTGCTGCTGCTGCAAAAAAAATGCTGTTGCTGCTGCTGCTGCTGCAGCAGCAGCAAATACTGCTGCTGCTCTCGTATATGCTGCTGCTGCAGCAGCAACAACAGCAGTATATAGGAGAGCATAGTGTCCGTCTTACTCTGTCTCTCTCTCTGTAAAGCCTGCAGTATTAAACTAAGTTTATTTGATAAGGCCTCCAGCTGCGCCTCGCCAACTCCTCGCAGATATTTCGGTAAGGTCAGCACCACAGGCGGCACCAGCGCCTTCTCGCGATTTAATGCCTCCACCTGCAAAACCCTAAACCCTAAACCCTAAACCCTATTAAAGGAACCCTAAACCCTAAAAAAGGAACCCTAAACCCTAAAGACGGGACCCTAAACCCTAAAGACGGAACCCTAAACCCTAAACCCTAAAGACGAGACTGTAAACCCTAAAACATAAATTAGGGTTTAGGGTTTACAGTTTAGAGTAGGGTTAATTAGGGTTTACATAGGGTGTATTTGGGGTTTATATAGAGGGTTCTTCTAGGGTTTAAGTAGGGTTTTTAAAATGCATTATTAGGGTTTAGGGTTTGAAGGCCCCACAATTTTGTAGAGACGCTGGATCTCAGCGCGTTGTTCTTCAATCAGCTTCTGACCCTCCAGCAGATCCCTGAGTACCTAAACCCTAAACCCTAAACCCTAAACCCCAAACCCTAAACCCTAATCTGCACACCCTAGACCCTAAACCCTCAACCCTGCGCATGCAATAAGAATACCCATAAGGAGACGGCTTTCTTTTTCGGGCTCATGAAGGCACAAGGAGAATTAATTAAACAAAATTAGGGTTTAGGGTTTACAGGCAAATTAGGGTTTAGGGTTTAGGGTTTCTCACGCTTCTGATTGAACGAGGCACATCTTTGAAACCCTGAGCTCTGCAAAAGAAGAACAGAGACAAAGAAGAACGTGAGGGTTTACAGCATAACCCTAAACCCTAATCCTAAACGCTAAACCCTAGGATATAACCAGATAAAACCCTAAACCCTCGCAGTCTTCCTTGAGGGTTTAGGCTTCATGACTTCCTTCTTTAGCACACCCTCGTCTAAACCCCAAAACCTAAACAACAAGGGTTTAGGGCTTAAGCTTGCTAATAGCTTCCCTGGGGGCCCTAGCATGGGGCCCCTAGGGCCCTGATGGGGGCCCCCTTTGGGCCCTCAGGGGCTCCCCTATAGGGGCCCCCTCCGGCTCTTAGAAGAGCCCCCTAGGGCCCCTAGAGGGGCCCCCTCAAACCCTTAAAGGGGCCCCCTCAGGCACTTACAGGGGCCCCCTCAGGCCCTTACAGGGGCCCCCCAGGGCCCTTAGAGGGGCCCCCTCAGGCCCCTAGAGGGGCCCCCTCAAACCCTTAAAGGGGTCCCCTCAGGCCCTTACAGGGGCCCCTTAGGGCCCTTACAGGGGCCCCTACGCTAGCAAGGCGGCCCTATGAAGGCCTCGAACAGAGTAGGTGCCGCCCTTGGGTACACCGCAGGAGAAGGTATAGGTTAGGGTTTGAGTTGAGGGTTTATGAGAAGGGTTTGAGCAGAGGGTTTGGGTGGGTATAGGGGTTTGTTTGAGGGTTTAGGGGTTTTGTGTGTTGGGGTGTATGCGCACCTTCAATTGTATTGCCGAGTTGGCGGGTGGTGCCCCGATGCAATTCGATGTCTCTTTGCACTCGCACAAGGTCCCCAGCTAGCTGAAAACAAACAAATGCATTAACACACACAAAGCTACCTAAGCAGCTAGCTGCTTAGCTAGCTGCCTAGCTAGCTGCTTAGCTAGCTGCTTAGCTAGCTGCTTAGCTAGCTGTTTAGCTAGCTGCCTAGCTAGCTGCTTAGCTAGCTGCCTAGCTAGCTGCTTAGCTAGCTGCTTAGCTAGCTGCTTAGCTAGCTGCTTAGCTAGCTGCTTAGCTAGCTGTTCAGCTGGCGGCCTAGCTAGCTTCTTAGCAAGCTGCATTGCTTGCTGCATAGCTAGCTTCATAGCTAGCTGGCTAGCTAGCTGCTTAGCTAGCTGCAGTGCTGCTTACATCTTGAGCAGAGCGCCCCTCTGCATCTCCTTCTCCTGAGGCCCCAACTAACTTCTGCAGTTTGCTAAGGCGGTGCAGCAGCCGCTGCTGTTCTTCTTTAAGGCGTTCATTTTCAGCTGTCTTGTCCGCGCTCTGCCACCACACAAACCCTAAACCCTAAACCCTAAACCCTAAACCCTAAACCCTGTTTATTGTAAGCCCTAGGTAATATGCAAGGCTTTCTATCGGCTTCACCCTGGCAGTGTATGACTGTGGTTTGATAAGGAGGGGCTGTAGGGTTTAGGGTTTAGGGTTGTTTAGGGTTGTTTGACCTGCAGGCGTCGTATGAGAGCGTCTCTTTCAGCGACAGCTTTCTCTGCTGCAGCAAGTGTCTCTACAAGCGTTTGTAATTCATTGTCTCCTTTAGTTCTCCTGTATTCTAGAGCCTGTAGATCCCCCTTAAGAGCGTCCAGCTGTAGGCGTAGCCTCTGGTTTTCTTGTACATACCCCACAAGGTCTTGCTGCAGCCGCTGCTCTTGTTCACCTCTACCTTGCTGCAGCATAAATACTGTCTGAGACAGCTCTTCTATCTTTTCTTTTTGTCTCTCTATCAAAGCCTTTGCACTCTCTAACGCGCTGCTCTCACGCGGAGTCGCCAGCACTAAAAACACCAACATAACAATGCATTAAACCGAGGAGACACCTGAGGAGACACTTAAGGAGACAGACACCTGAGGAGACACTTAAGGAGACAGACACCTGAGGAGACACCTGAGGAGACACTTAAGGAGACACCCAAGGAGACAGACACCTGAGGAGACAGACACCTGAGGAGACAGACACCTGAGGAGACACCTGAGGAGACACCTGAGGAGACACTTGAGGAGACACCTAAGGAGACAGACACCTGAGGAGACACCTGAGGAGACGCTTCAACATGCATGCAGCATCGACACAAGAAGTCAGACACTTGAGGAGACACTTAAGGAGACAGCTAAGGAGACACTTAAGGAGACACAGGAAGACAAAAGAGAGACATTAACAAGACCCAACAGCCCCTAATTGCATGCAGCTCCCAACAGCAGAAATGAGATCTCTATGCATGCAAGCCCCAAACGCCAACAGAGGCAGCAGCAGCAGCAGCAGCAGCAGCAAAAACGCATGCAGCAGCAGCCATTTCTATGTATGCTGCAGCAGCAATGGATGCAGCAGCAGCAGCAGCAGCAGCAGCAGATATGAAGGTGATGTTTTTGTTTCCTTTCGTGTGTACGTGCAGCAGCAGCTTCAGGCCCTCTATATAAACCCCAGGCAAACAGAAGTATAATATTATATTTTAAATAAACACTCTTTATACTTCGATTAAAACCCTAAACAATTAAAAACAAAAACCCTAATTAAGGGTTTTATAATTAGGGTTTTATAAAGTCTTACTGTCGGGCATACGAGCGCTGTGGACTCCCTCCTGTATAAACCGTTTGCTGCCTGCTCCTGCTGCTGCTGCTGCTGCTGCATCAGCAGCAGCAGGAGCTGCTGCTGATGCTGAAGCAGGCATCAGCAGCAATTCTTTTTCTTGCTGCTGCACTGAAAGAGGTGTAGCAGGCGGAGACACCTGAGAAGAGTTGTGGGGTCTCCTGCTTCCTATAGAGGCCCCTATAGTATAGAGTTGTTCATTATTTAGCATTGATAATAAGAAGGATTGCTTAGATATAATAAAAAGATAAATAAATTAAATAAAAAGATAAACAGATAAAGAGATGAGAGGTTAAGAGACAGACAGCTGCATACTCTTAAGACACTGCAGCTTCTTATACTGCCTTTAAGAGACTCATATTATAATTTGTATGAGTTTAGTAAGAGGTAAATAAAAGAAAAGATAAAGGAGAAGGTATCTGCTGCTGCTGCTGCTGCTGCTGCTGTTGCTGCTGCTGCTGCAGCTGTTGCTGCAGCTGTTGCTGCAATTGTGTGCTTCAAGTTCAGCAGGCAGCTTGTGTAGAGGAGGATGAAGAGAGAATAACAAACAAACAAATTAAATAAATAATAAAAGAAGAAGAAATAGATAAATAGATGAAGAAAGAGGGGTAGGGTGTAGCTCTTGTATAGGGGTTTAGCTGGTTGAAGAGGCTAGACGTATCAAAAACGCTTAAAGAGAAGGTATTTGTGCTTTAATAACGTCTCTAATGAAAAGAATTACTTCAATTAAAACAGATAAATAAATTAAAACAAAGAAATGAAGCAAAAAAACAAAGACAAACAAAATCAGCACACTTAGCTCACAGCAAAGGCAGGGGCGAGCAGCTAACTGAAGAAAGCCTAAGAAAGAATATCTTTTTAATTTGTTTATTACTTCTTTTTAAACATAAATATAATAAAAATAAATTAATTTAATATAATAAATAAATATATTATTCTGTTATTATATAGAATTGCTCAAAACCTAGCCAGCGAAGCAGACAAAGGAGGGGGCTGAGAAAACGCAGAAAAAAATATTTATAAGGCATCTTTTTTTGTATTTGTTTGATGTTTTAATTATATTTATTTTTAAATAATTAATTTATATTTATTTATTTAAATTAAAACAAATAAATCTTTATTTTCTTCTCTTTAACCTCTCACACGCAGCAGCAGTCGCTGGCCTAGGGGTCTGCGCAGTTCAACGAATAAACAATAATATATTTATTTATTTAAATAAATAAATAAATAAATAAATATTTATTATATAATTTATTTATTTAAATAAATAAATATATTATTGTTTATTCTTCTCGATATTAATTAAATTGCTCCCCCAGCATATATTTGTGGTGTCTGCTGACCATGAAGACAATATTTTTTTATTTATTATTAAGCCTCTCTAACTCGGAAATAAATAAATAAATTTAGAAATAAATAATTAATTATATTACTTTTATTTGTTTTATAATAATCTGCGGCTTTTCTAGCTTTGTTTTCTCTACTGTAAGTTCAAACATAATATATTTATTATATTATTTATTTTATCTTTATATTTGCTTTATAATGCTCTAGCTTGTATGTATTGCGTAGTAAAAATATTATTTTATACTGTTTATTATTATATATTATATTTTATACTGTTTATTATTATATATTATATTTTATATTGTTTATTATTATATATTATATTTTATACTGTTTATTATTATATATTATATTTTATA